AGAAGTGGGATTTTCCATCGTGACAGAAAGCAATGAGGCCTCTGTAAAATTTTTATCCCAGCAAAATGCTCTCTGCTAATGAACACGTTCAAGAAGGACTTTTCCCCAGAAGACCGTAATGAGGTTTGGCCTCGTCAGCGCTTGCTAGCGGATTATGTGAAATGCCATTTGCTTTGGCACTTAATATCCATTTGGGTCATTATTTAACTTTTTCATGTGGGTCTATGTCTTTTTTTCCTCCCCTTTAATAAACAATATGGTCACAGAGGGCAGGGGCCAGGTCTCACATACATTTCTCTTACATCTTCTTTTCCTACCTGATGCCTTTACTGAAATAGTGTTGCAAACTGGCTATCACGTGGAGGCCAGACATGATCAATGGTGTGTTGCTTTACCCAGAGCGCCATTCTGAACAATTGTGAATGAGCTGCTAACCTTTAAACACTAGGAGGTTTTTCATCAGAATGCCCACCTTCATTTCTTGAAAATCAGTAGGGTCCGGCAACCCTGGGTGAGCATGCCTATGTGGCTCTCTTAGGCAGTGTGGAGCGCCGTTTGCCCCTTTGAAGAAGACATGTGTCTGTTTACCACTTTCCCTCTGGTTAGCTCACTCCCCTGTTACCTGCTTAGCTGCCGTAGGCTTTTGTGTTTACAACTCTTTTGGAAGACACTTCCATAAATGAGCTGAGAAGGGAAATACTACACTCTGTAAACACAGCCAGGCAGCCTTTAATGCTTGTCTTAATGGGCCACATGTCTGTTTTAAGCAGAGAAAGTCAAAATTCATGTTTCAGCCTTTAGCTGAAGACATTTGCCTCACTCACTGATTTTAGCTATTCTTCTTGGGCTTGTCTGGAACTGATAACGGATCAGGAAAATGGTCAACTGAATGAAAAGAAGAATGGCCAGCTTAAATAGTCACGTGCAGATACTCAAGACTCAAGAGTCTAATGCTGATCTATGGACACGGAGTGTTCCCTAAAACCATGTGGAAATCCCAGCCCTCACGATGCTCAGTGCTTCTGACAGCTGTCCAGTAAGTCTGGGCCTTGATACAGGGAGCCTAAGCCTCCTTGTTGACTCTAACCCATGGTGGTTTCTCCTCCTTTGAACTCTTTATTATTGACTACTGTGTTCTAAAGAAGAGAACTACCTATCTTGTCTCTCCCACTCAACTGTAAGATCCTTATAAACTCCTTTTATATCCTTCCCATGCCTCACATAGTAGGTCAGGGGGCTCTTAACCTGGACTGTCTTCATTCAGAGGCAAAAACCCAACGGGTCATCAAAGCTCCCTGTTAACACGGTGCATACCTCATAGGTAGGCCTTTAGGACTGGGAAAGAACTCTGACTTTCAAGCATTTGTAAAAGGGCCAATACTCGATGAAATGCATGGTGGCCTTGGTGATATTCGTGTGGTCTGTTAATTACCTTTTCAGTTGCCGGTCAACTGCACATTTGCCAAGCACAAATTTCATGTCTTCATTAAGGTCATGGGAAAAAAATATTAAGCTACCCAGGGTCAACTCATGCACCATACTGGAGAGACAAGTGAAAAGGAAATGAAATTGCCATCTGTTGGGTACAGTAGTCCAACCACATACGAGCCCACTCATCACGATGTTCACTTCTTCTCCAGCTGGTATGAAAGGATGCCACAAGAATATTCCCGGTGCCCTCAAATCAAGATTCATTCAACTTGAGAGTTCTCCTTGTCCATGACTAATTTAATGAGTCTCTCACAGTAAGAAATGTAGTCAACTTGACATAAACTGTATCTTTATGAACCTCTGCAGGTTTGTACAAATGTTTCCTCTCTAACTGTATGTAAACCATATGTTGACTAATCCATGCTCAAATTATGCCGAGGAGCAGTTTCACATCTGGTTTCCAGAATGTACTTTTTCCTCGCTTTTGAAAAGAGGGATGATATTCGCTTATCTCCTGCTTTTTGAGGAGTCTTCCACTGTCCTGCTTTTTCTAAGCTCACACTCAGGGGTTTCCCGATGTTGGCCTCAAGTTCTTTCATTTGGGAAAATGGTTCATCTGGGCCTCGAGACAAGCCCATTTCCAATGGCTAAGGAGACTCATGTCACCTCTGGTAACTCTGCGATTAACACCTCCACTTTGAAGATGTCGTTGCTTCATGGAGAAGACTTAAATGGAGTAGTTCCACCGAGCCGTCCCCTGCTAGCAAAGTGATACTTTCTCTGAGTAGTCCCTTCTTCCTCTTTTGCACGTCAACACAGTATTTACTGAGGACTGAAGATGCAGGCACTATGCTGTCTTTTTGGTGTTTTTCTCAGAGACGCTGAACCCCTCTTCCTTCACCGCTTATCTTCCTCTTAAAAGCAGAGATCATCCAAAGCACCCTGTTGCCACCAAGCACTTAAAAAAAATCGTGCGTGTTTCTCTGTCCTGTTCATCTTCCTGCATCTTCTCTTATTTATTGGAATTCTTTGCGATCTTAATATCTGACTTTTTGTGGGGCGCCTGGGTGGCTCAGTCGGCTAAGCATCCGACTTCGGCTCAGGTCACGATCTCACAGTTCGTGGGTTCGAGCCCTGTGTCGGGCTCTGTGCTGACAGCCAGCTCAGAGCCCGGAGCCTGTTTCAGATTCTGTGTCTCCCTCTCTCTCTGACCCTCCCCTGCTCATGTTGTCTCTTTCTCTCTCTCTCTGAGAAATAAATAAAACATTAAAAAAAATCTGACTTTTCGTTCTTACAATCTTACCAATGCTGCTGAGTCAAATACGCTATTAGAGACATCTACCCCAGAATCATATGCGTAATATAAAAAGCCCACTTTACTAATTTGTGGGCAAGACAAACTTACTAAACTCCAAGATCTCCTGGTCACATTCCTTGTATTACTTCTGCATCGCTAAAGAACTCCTATAGGTCAGGGCTCCATTAAGAACCCCAGTGCATCCTGCCAGTGACTGGGAAAAACCACATGAAAAGGATCGGAAACCACACAGGCTGGCAACGACCATCAAACTGCACGGTTGTCAGGCATGTCTGAATTTACAAGGAATCTTGGGTAACGAGGTAGGATTTGGTTATCTTTCTGCAACTACAAATAAATAACGGTGTGCTGCTACCTCTGGCCAGATTCACACATTTTAGAAGCCCTAACAGGACACTCATTAGCTCCTGAACCTTCACCCTACTGTGCCCCAGCCATATCATCACTTTGGATGGCAACTTCCTGCTTATTCTAGGTTCGGCTGAGTAGTAAAGTCAGAAGATATTCTAGGAAAAAAGGGCATATTCTCCCACAAGAAAATTGAACAGGAAATAGATCCTGTTAATTCCATGACCCAAATATGGGGTTGGCTCAGATGGCTCATGTACTTTAGGACAAAACTGCTTGCTAGCTATCCACGAGAGAGTAAAATACAAAACGAAAAGTTAAGTTATAATGAACCTTCAATATACAAACCTCCTACTCACAAAACAGAAGGAGGGCAAGAACTTTTAAAAATGAAATGTACATCAGTTTACAATCAGGAGCAGTGGTGCCTGGGAACATATACTCCCCAGTAACGTGTCTGAACACGAGCTTCCTTGCCAGGAGCTGAGAATTTATCAAAGTCAAAGAGTGGCAAGGTAAGATACACTGCAAAGTCTGGAAGGGGATTTTTTGTGAAACGGGCTGAAGGCACAGAATCTGAGAAGCTTAGAAAGGGACGGGACAGAGTTCATGTTACAATTTTTTTTTTAATACAAAGGTAGAAAATGTGTAACTTTTGGTGGGATGTAGCAAGTCAATAAAAGATCCACATCCTGGTGGCGCCTGGGTGGCTCAGTCGGTTAAGCGTCTGACTTCGGCTCAGGTCATGATCTTGTGATTTGTGAGTTCAGGCCCGACATTGGGCTGTCTGCTGTCAGCACAGAGCCTACTTGGGATCCTCTGTCCCCTTCTCTCTGCCCCTCCCCTGCTTGTGCAAGCTCTCTCTCAAAAATAAACAAACATTTAAAAAATTATTTAAAAAAAAAAGAGTCACATAATGGACACAGAACACTGCACACACATAAAGGCCTCCTTAGGATTTAGAAGAGTCTTCATATACCTACCTTCTATACCACTAACTACTAACTAACTAACTACTATGATCTATATACATAGTAACTGTCAATGAACTTCAACATGGAAAAACCGCCCCTCCCCAAAGATGTCCATGTCTCAATCATGGCACCCTGTGGCTATGTTATATGGCAAGGAGGTATTAAGGTTGCAAAAGAAATTAAGGTTGCTGATCAGCTAACTTTAAAATAAAGGGATTAGGGGTGCCTGCGTGGCTCTGTCAGTTGAACATTCAGCTTTTGATTTTGGCTCAGGTCATGTTTCCAGGGTCAGGGGATCGAGCCCTGCATTGGGCTCTGCACTGAGCATGGAGCTGCTTGGGATTCTCTCTCTCTCTCTCTCTCTCTGCCCCTCTCCCCCACTCACACGTGCTCACTCTCTCTCCCCCTCGCTCTCGAAAATAAAAAACAAATAATAAGTTAAAAAGGGGCTATTCTGAATTATCTAGGAGGACTCAGTGTCATCCCAAGCGTCCTTTAAAGTGTCAGAGCAATACAGCCTGAGAGAGATTCAGCTGGTCTTTGGTATCTTTGAGGTGGGAAGGGAGTCGTCATACAGGTAACACAGGCAACCCGGAGATGCTGGAAAAGACAAGGGAATAGCAGACGGTCCCCTAGGAACTCCGGAAAGGAACACAGCCCCATAGACCCCTGGATTCTGGCCCAGGGAGACCCAGGTCAGCCTTGTGACCTGTAGTTCGACAAGACAATACCTCTGTGTTGTCTGAACCCCTGGATCTGTGAGGGCAAGAGGAAATGAAGGCGGTCAGTTACACACAACTGCTGTAGAGGGAAATAAGGCCTCGAACACATGAAACACTCCAAGCAATGACAGCGGTCCTCTTTCTGAACTGAAGAAAGAAGACAGCCACTTACCTTTTTATAAGTTTTCTCTTCGTTCTGTCTTCCAGATGCCGCATCTCCATTTTCAGCAGCGGACGACATCTACGGGAGAAAACCGGGCCTGTGTGAACGTCCCACTCTACTCGAAAGCACCATATGCTAATATTGTTTTACCTGGAGAATCTATTTGGCTAATTACATTTGTGCCATTATTACTCCCCTGTGCTCTAAGAAAGATGGTACGGAAGTCGAGCCCAAATCATATGTACAAGTTTCTTTCTATAAAGTCTTAAAAAAAAAAAAAAAAAAAGCTTCTTCTGATTATAGATGCTTCCTGTACAAGTATCTGGAAAGTACCAAAAAATATAAATCAGAAAAAAAGTACTCAATTCTACTGGCCTTGGGTAACTCCACTCTTCACACTTGGGCATGTATGTTACCACCTTTTGTTGCACGCGCTCTCATGCTAAGAATATTAGGACATCATCTCTACCCAGCAGTCTTCAATGAACGTTTATGTACTATGCATTTTCCCATTTGATCAGAACATCTCATTGTAAGAATAACCACCTTTTCTACGTGCAGGGCACACCACTGTGTGAACAAATCTGCACGTTAACACTTCAGTTTTAATTGCTAATGTTAAAAGGACAGGTGAGGTGGTTGGTCTACAAGTACAATAATTATTTTGTGCTTCTTTTTTGGTCCAACTTCAATGTTTTCTTAGATTCCTAGAATTACAAGGTCATTAAAACAAACATTAGTAAATTTCTTTCCCAGGGTATACTCAGTCACACGATCCTCAGTGAGTGAGGGCTTGCTTCATTTACACATTTACAGTGACTATTACCATTTTAATTATCTTTGCTAATGTCATAGGTGAAAGAAAGCATCTCTTGATGTTTATGTGCACTTCTGAAAATTAGTAATGAAGGCTAACATGTTTTGCATCTCTGGGTGGTTTTTTTTTTTTTGCCTATCTTTTTTTAGCTCTCTGTGTTTATTCTTTTGAGTTTCCTAAAAATTTTTTTAATGTTTATCTTTGAGAGAGACAGACAGACAGAGAGCAAGCAGGGGAAGGGCAGACAGAGAGGGAGACACAGAATCTGAAACAGGCTCCAGGCTCCCAGCTGTCAGCACAGAGCCCGACGCAGGGCTTGAACTCACAAACCATGAGATCATGACCTGAGCCAAAGTTGGATGCTTAACAGACTAAGCCACCCAGGCGGGTTTTTAATAAACATACTGTGGATTAAACCTAAGAATTTGCTAGCCAGTTCTCTGCAGTGGGACGAAAAGACCCCCATATGCCTGACAGGACTAAAAACCACCCAAGAAAATGAAAGAATGGATCATGGCAAGCTAACCTCCCCAGACCTATGACTGCCCGCCCATCAAAGGATTCTCTTAGATAAATTTCCATTTCCATTTGTGTCCATATAACTAACTGAATTATAACCTGCCCACTATACTACGGACCGATGTTTCATATACTACTGCCTCCCACACTGTATCTGCTTAATACATTTAAAAAATAATTGACTGTCAGGGCCCCTGGGTGGCTCAGTCAATTAAGCATTCGACTCTTGGTTCTGATTCAGTTAAGATCTCATAGCACATGAGATCAAGCCCCAAACTGGGCTCTGCACTGACAATATGGGGCCTGCATGGGATTCTCTCCTCTCCCTCTCTCTCCCTGCCCTGGCCCCTATCTCAAAAGAAATAAATAAATACACACTTAAAAAAAAGAACTGATTTTCTAGTTTCCTCATAGTATTTTGGTGAGGTACGAATAATGTATTAGTGGAGTTATAACACCTGAAAGGCCTCATAATAACAGGCTCAGTGCAAAAAAGCAAACCAAAGGCAAGGTCATGCCCCTGCAAAAGTTCAAATTACACAATTACTTTAAGAATATACAGGTATTTATCTGATACTGGATCCTTGAGTAGGCAAAGGTGTTTATACACATAAAAGTTATAGAATAAAAAAATTTAATTGATTTGACGACTCAAAATTCTAGATGTGATGTCAAAATAGATCATGAGCATATTAAAAGACAAGCAATAAGGTGGAAATACTGGCAATTAACTTGACAACTTAGTAATTCTAAAACATGAGAAGCTTATTTAAAGTGTGCAGAGCCTGTGACCTATCCAAGGATTTCATTCCTACGAGTCGCCCCTTTCTCTCGACTTCAATTTTTCTATTTCTATCCCATCAATGCTCTGCCATTTTTTCCACCTTAACAGAATAAAGCCTTTTCTTGATCCCACTTTCTCCTCACTTCCTTATTCCTCTATGCAGCAAAATTCCTCGACAAAGATGTTTCTACACTCATCTCCTGATTCCTTTTCACAGATTGTCTCTTTAACGCACTTCAATCAGGGGTCTGCTCTCAACATTGCACTGTGAACCTCTTTATCAAAATAGCCAACAACCTCCATGTTGCCAAACCCAATGGCTAAATCAAAGCCCCCATTCGGCCTGAGCTATCATATGCCTGATACAGATCAGATGATCACTCCCTCTTCTTTGACTCAATTTCTTCACTTGGCGTCTAGAGCCCCACGCTCTTGTTTCTTACCCTCACCCTCCCCAGTAGCTCCTTGGTTCCTTCTCAGCCTCCTTAGATGGTTTCCCTCCCTTCCCTTTCTCTGTAACCTCTTAATGTTAGAGTATCCAGGACTGACTCCTTGGTTCTCTTCTCTATCCATACTCTCTTGAGAATCTCCAAATACCATCTGGAACTCTCTTCTGAGCTCCAGAGTTGAGTATTGAATGGTCTTCTTGATATCTCCATGTGGCTATCTAACAGAAACCTTCATATTTACAAATCTAAATCCGTATTCCTGATATTCTCTCCCAAACTTCCTTCCCTTGGACCTTCACCATCTCAGTTAATGGCATCTCTAACCTCTTACTGCTCAGGCCCCAAATCTTAGAGTCTTCCTTCTCTTACACCATAGTCAACCTGTCGGCAGAGCCTCTGGAAGCCATCCAGAATCCATTCCTGCTCCGTGTTCCTGGGCAGATCCACCATCTTCTCATTCATGTGTTACACATTCTTGGCCTCCCAACAGGGACTGCTAGTGCCATCCATGCCCATCTACAATCTACTCTCAGTCAGTGATCTGTCTTTAAACCTAATCACACCATAACTCTTTTCCCTTAGGACCTTACAGTGGTTTCCCATTTCATCCGGAGTAAAAGCCAAAGTCCTTACAATGGCTGATGTGTCCCTGTATGATTTACCCACCCCCTTCCCACCCCTCCTCTAACCTCAGCACCTCTGAACTCCCCCTCCATTCCCCTGCTTCAGGTACTCTGCTGTTTCCCAAACACACCAGAATGCTGCTACATTAAAGCTTTTTGCTTGAGTTATTCCCACTGCCTCAACAGTCTGCCCCAGGCACTGGCTTATCTCCTTTAGGTCTTTGCTCAAATGTCAACTTCTATCTGATGCTTAGCTTGATGATCCTATTTTAAACTACAACCTATTTGGTACCTCCCTGCCCCCATACCTCATATTCCTGATTCCCCTTAGCTCTACTTAAGTTCTTTCTTTCCTTTCTTTCTTTTCTCCCTCCCACCTTCCTTCCCTTTCCTTTCATTTCTTCTTTGCTCCCTTCCTTTTTCTCTCCCTCTCTCTCTCCCTTTCTTTCTTTTTTGCCCATAGCACTCATCAGTGTCCAACATACTACAGAGCTTCCATATTTATTACAGCAGGTTTTTGTTTCAGTCTGTCCTCTCCTGAAGAATTTAAACTCCACAGAGGTAGGGATTTTCATCTCTTTTGTCCACTGATGTACCTCCAACACTTAAACTGTACCTGGTACATAATAAGTGCTTTGTGAATATTTATAGAATGAATAAACTGATAGGAAAGATTAAAAACACACCGTTAGATCAATGCAGGCAGCATCTGATTCCTTGGGTGTTTTATGCGTGGGAAGGAAGCTGACCTCCTGAAGGAAGGTGATCAAGACCTAACTTAGGGGGCCCACACCTTCAATCACATTGTCCGGATTTTTTGGAAGGTGCCAGTGGCAACTTTAGATATAGTTGCTATGGAATAAATGGCCATGTCACTAACTCAACATAACTCCTTCATCAATGAAAAAGACTTTTAGACTGTACATACTTCAATAACAATCTCCATGTACGTTTTAAGTCTTTTAAAAAATGTAAACTACTCCGAACATGCCACGTTTTCATTTTCCTGACATAACCAAGTCTCGAAACTCTCTGCAAATGAATTTGGAATTATGTCTTATAACATATGAGGAAGGCTCCTGATTTTTTAAATCAAAGGTACTGTTCGCTATTTCTCATTTAAAATCTAAACATAATTTTTAAATTTAAAAATAATGTTTGTGAAGCAATGGGGTGGCTCAGTCGGTTAAGTGTCTGACTTCAGCTCGGGTCATGACACTGCAGAATGTGAGTTCGAGCCCCGTGTCAGGCTCTGTGCTGACAGCTCAGAGCTTGGAGCCTGCTTTGGATTCTGTGTCTCCCCCACCTCTGCCCTTCCCCCGCTCGTGCTTTCTCATGTGCACTCTCTCTCTTGCTCTCTCTCAAAAAATAAACATTAAAAAATGTTTTTTCCCTAAGAAAAGTAAAACATATTTTATACAAAAAAAAAAAAGTAAAACTATCACCTTTAATCCTGTTAACTGTTAATATTCACTTATTTTATCATCTGATCTTCTTCAAATGTGTGTTTATTTGTTAACCAAACTGGGGTTATACATTACACACAAATTTGTATTTGCCCTTTTTGTTTTGTCATAAATGTTATCTGCATCACTAAATATTAATTAGGAAAATATCTAACAGCTGAATAATTGTATCATAAAAATGCATCACAGGTCAATATTTATTAATGGACATTTAGAATGCTTCTTATTTTTCTGTTACAAATAAAACATTCTCTGTGTTCTTAGAATTTCCCACAGCAAATCTATCAGAGCTGCTGGACATTCATAAAACAATGTCTACAGGGTAAAATATGCCTACTTTATAACTGTAGCAGCATCAAGGGTTTTCATTTAAAATCAGATAAAACACTTGGCCAATTCTGGGCAAAAATATCATTTCATTTTGCATGTATATGATTCAAAATAAGGACAGACAACTTTGTCACGTTTACATGGTTATTTGTATTTCTTTGGTGAATTATGTGTCCGAAGCTCTAGCCCATTTCTCACGAGGGTATGCGTGTCCATCTCCAATTTATTATGCACTCATGACAGTAAGGGCAGGATTTTCCTTAACTGTCAATCGTTAACAGAAGTAAGAGAACGAAGGCTTTCCTAAAGAATGCCATTCAGGGGCGCCTGGGTGGCTTAGTCAGTTAAGCAGCCGACTTTCGCTTAGGTCATGATCTCGTGGTTCGTGGGTTCAAGCCCCGCGTCGGGCTCTGTGCTGACTGCCGGCTCAGAGCCTGGAGCCTGTTTCAGTCTGTGACTCCCTCTCTCTCTGACCCTCCCTTGCTCACGCTGTCTCTCTCTCTCTCTCCCAGAAATAAATAAAACATAAAAAAAAATTAAAAAAAAAAAAAGAATGCCATTCAGTCATTAAACTTCTAAGACTTGGCAGTTGGGAAAACCAAAAATCTCCAAGAGCAACAATGGGCCTTGGGAAAGCCACCACAGAGAGGGCCTGGCTACCGGGCATGAATGCAGGACACGTGACGAGATGGTCTTTTTATGACTTTGTAGGTCACCCCTGAATGCACTGAAGCAAAGAGGAGAAGAGACATAGGTAAACGTCTAGTTTGAAAAACACAGTCCCTCTTAGGCAGCACAAAATAGACAATGATGATAAAGGGACACCATGCATTGCTGCCTGAACTCTAAGGCTTCTCTGAGGATGATGTTGAACAAGGTCACGCGAATCTCTTCACCAGGACATCTGTGCAGGGGCGGCAAATGAGATGCTTGGGAATGTTCTGGTAAACTGCAAATGGCCACTGAAATGGACAGAGTGGTAATGACTATTTGTTCCTGGACTTGCTATATTCTTGTACCAGTTAAGGTGCATCATTTATAATTACGGGAGTCAAGATGAGTACGTTTTACACAGATTATATACAACTGTATAGATTTCTATACGTGCATGGAAGAAAGAGGAAAGGAATTCACAGAAGCACTGGTGATTATCTGCGGGTGATGGGATTATGAATGCTTCGGATTTTCATTTTTATAGTTTTCTATAGTCTCCAAGGATTCTGCAATGAGCATTCTACACTTAACAATAAGGAAAACATAGGGGCGCCTGGGTGGCTCAGTTGGTTAAGCGTCTGGCTTCGGCTCAGGTCATGATCTCACAGTTCGCGGGTTCGAGCCCCGTGTCTGGCTCTGTGCGGACAGCTAGCTTAGAGCCTGGAGCCTGCTTCAGATTCTGTATCTCCCTCTCTCTCTGATCCTCCCCTGCTCATGCTATCTCTCTCTCAGAAGAAAAAAAAATTAAAAAAAAAAAAACACCAGTAAGGAAAACATTAATATTCTTTAAAAACTGAACCACACTGCAGTAATCAATAGCAGAAACCGTATCTCCCAGATTCTGTTCTGCCCCCTAGAAATGCTGACATTCACAAACTTTCCTACGTTTCTATTTGCTTGTCATTTGTTTTAAATTTAGTAATGTCAAAGTTAAAGGTCATGAAATAGGATAGGATTTAGAATATTTGTAAATAAATATAAAAGAGGTAAGAGCTCTAGTGTGAGTCCCCTAGAATTAATTCAAAAACGTAGACTGTAGGGGTGCCTGGGTAGCTCAGTCGGTTAAGCGTCCGACTTCAGTTCAGGTCATGATCTTGCAGTTTGTGAGTTTGAGCCTCACGTCAGGCTTTGTGCTGACAGCTCAGAGTCTGGAGCCTGCTTCAGATTCTGTGTCTCCCTCTCTCTCTGCCCCTCCCCGGCTCATACTCTGTCTCTCGCTCTTTCTCAAAAATAAACAAACGTTAAAAAAAATGTAGACTGCATATCCTTACCTTTGTAAATGAAATGGCAAATCATCTGTAGTTAGTCATGATGGGTGACCTAGTCATTGTTGAAATGGTTTTCCTTCCCAAGTTCCTGTTAAAATAGAAATCACTGGTTATTATTTATTCATATCTCTACCTCATCTCCCAAAAAAAGATCAGAGCTAGCTATGGAGATAATACAAGGCAGTCAGCTTAAATCAAAATAAAGGAGGGATCTAATGTTAAAAATGGAAGTAGAAAGGCATTAGAAGAAAATATAGAGGAACACAGGTATAAAGTTAGGTTGGGCATCTTATTTTTTTCCCATAAGGGAAAAAATGTGCAGATTTGACTATGTAAAAATTCATAATGTTTACATGACCAGACACCATAAAGAAACCCCAAAAATGAACAATACGTTGTAGCTCATATGACAGTGTTAGTGTCCAATGTACTAGGAGACTATACAAATGGATTCTGAAGGTAAAGACAAACCACACTGTATAAAAACAAGAGAAGGGTGTGAACTGAAAATACAGATCGCTGGTAAACCTGTGAAAAGGATAAGACCTCTCTGAGTGGTAAGAGAACATGAATTACAATCAATGAGATGCTATTATTTGCCCATTAGGTTGGCAAACACTTTAAAGATGGCGAACATCCAAAGCTCGTAAGTACGTCAATAATCAAGAACTCTTCCTGCACCATTCGATTGATGGCCTCACTCTTTTTATAGAAAGGAATGTAGCAATGGTCCTTCAAACAGGACCATTAATGCACTTGCCAAGTCTGGCCCAACTTCTAAGATTCTTTCCCAGAGAAATGAAAACATTAGAACTTTTAAGATGTTTGAACAAGGGCGTTTATTCCTGCTCGGGTTATGGTAATATGGTTATAGTTCTATCATATTCTGCTGTATTTTGTGTGTGTGTGTGTTGGGGGGGGGGATTGCCTTAAATTTTCCATAACAATGCTATGGAATATAACCTATGTATAGTATATGTATAATATATTATACATACAATCTATGTATAATAGTGTCCTGGTGAAATCTACTCTTTATTTTTAAAAGGATCTTTTCTTATTTAATAATTTTAGTTTGGGGTTCCATGGTCGTCGATGTGCACTTCTGTTCTCCCTTCTCTCGTGTATACTTGGCATATCCTTGTCTATTTATTTCTTTAACCTTTTTAGCTGCCATTTTGTTTAATCTGTGTTCCTTTATGCTAATTTAAGTCTTCCATTTGAAAGGGGATTTCAACAATCCACATCTACTGTGATCGGATTGTACTTGGCTTGCTTCCAATGTATTTGTTTACTATTTAAAACTTTTTTTTTTAATGTTTACTTTTTGAGAGACAGAGACAGCGCGCGAGCAGGGGAGGGGCAGAGAGGGAGGGAGACACAGAATCTGAAGCAGGCTCCAGGCTCTGAGTGGTCAGCGCAGAGCCCGACACGGGGCTCGAACTCACGAACTGTGAAATCATGACTTGGGCCGAAGTCAGCCCCTTAACTAACTGAGCCACAGAAGACACAGACCCTGAAGGTTCTGTATAGGGTGTAATAAAGTGATCCAGTTTCTTTCATTCCTTCTTCCTTCTTCCTTCTTCCTCCTCCCTTCCCCCTCCCATACCTATCTTCCTCCTCCTCCTTCTCTGCATGTAGCTGACCAGTTTTCCCAGCACCATTTGTTAAAGAGACTGTCTTTGTCCCATTGTATAGTCTAGCTTCTTTTGTCATAGATTAATTGACCATTTAAATGAAGGTTTATTTATCTCTATTCATTGATCTGTATGTCTATTTTTGTGCCAGTACCATATTGTTTTGATTATCACAGCTTTGTAGATCTCGAAAACTGAGCGTGTGATACCTCAAGCTTTGTTCTCCTTTTTTTTTTTTTTATATATTTTTTTATTTCTAGGAGAGAGAGAGAGAGGCAGCGTGAGCAGGGGAGGGTCAGAGAGAGAGGGAGACACAGACTCTGAAATAGGCTCCAGGCTCTGAGCTGGCAGTCAGCACAGAGCCCGACGCGGGGCTCAAACCCATGAACTGCAAGATCATGACCTAAACGAAAGTCGGACGCTTAACTGACTAAGCCACCCAGGTACCCCTAGGAAGATGTTTCTTTAAAAAAGAAATATATATATTAATATGTGATATGTAAAGGAAATACACACACACACACACACACACACACACACACACACACAAAGAGACAGAAAACAAGCATGTGCTTTTCCCCAGGTAGCAGAAAAACTAGCTTTCATTCAAAGCAGATGAGAATGAATAAGAAGTAATGCNGCTTAACCGACTAAGCCACCCAGGTGCCCCTGTCCTTCTTTCTAAAGACTGCTCTGGCTATTCAGGGGTCTTTCGTGGTTCCACACAAATTTTAGGACTCCTTCTAGTTCTGTGAAAAAGCTGTTGGTATTTTGACGGGAACTGCATTAAATCTACAGATCGCTGGGTAACATGGACATTTTAACAATAGTGATTCTTCGAAGCCATGAGCATGGAAAAGGTTTCCATCTGTTCGTGTCATCTTCAATTTCTTTCATCAACATTTCATAGTTTTTGAAATATAGGTCTTTCAGGTCTTTGGTTAAGTTTATGCCTAAGTAATTATTTTATTATTTTTGATGCAACGGTACATGGGATTGTATTCTTAATCTGAGAGTCTTCTCTTTTAACACAGAGTTAAAAAAATTCCATAAGGATAGATGTGTCTTTTTTCACTAACCCTCCCAAGCAAAGGGAAACTGACAAGCTGTTACACTGAGATCCGATGACTTGACTCACACCGTGAATAATATTTAGGCTATCTCAATGAGGAATGAATGGATTGCATAAGCTCCAGGCAATCCTCCCTGAAAAGTATTTCTCATAACCAACCTTTTGATAAGAATTGGACAGTAGAGCACTCAAAGTTATAGTCTCTGGCAAGAGCCTGGAATGCAGAAATTCTAGTGGCCAAGTAAGGGCATAATCAGAAGAGTCAGGTCTCCTTAGGAAATGTGTTAACATGTAATCTGATACAGAATCCCACTTAGGACTTATTTTCTTAAATTATTTCTGACAACCAACTTACAGTGTCATATGGTTAGACTGTGGAGACCCCAACTCAGATAACAGAAATACATACCAAGCAATGAATTTTTTTTCTTACTATTTAATTGCTTATCTATCCTTTCTGATATTTAGTATCTGGATTCTGTTAGCGTCAGGAATAAATAATTTACATGATTTCGTAGCTTTCTACATTTCTTTTTCTAATTTTTAATTTTTTTAGAGACAGCGAGTGAGGGCGCAAGTCAGGGAGAGGGGCAGAAGGAGAGAGAGGGAGAATCTCAAACAGGTTTTATGCTCAGCATGGAGCCTGACGTACGGCTCAATCCCACAACCCTGGGATCATGAACCAAGCTCAAATCAAGAGTGAGACACTCAAATGCCTGAGCTGCCCAGGTGCCCCTTTCATTTTCTACATTTCTGAGCTTGGAAGGAAAGACATGATCATCTGTTGAGCAGCAACTATGTGCGAGAAGCCGTCACACCCATGATCTCATTTAGCACTGCAAATAATCCCTCGGCAGCCTCCAATTTAGCCAATGCTGCTGCACCTGTAACCGACTGCCCTGTAACACCCAAGCGAGGGAGTCATTTTTCATTTTGCCAAGGCAGGCTCTCCTGCCGTGAGGCCAGTCTGTAGAAGGGAAACCCTTAGTGGGTGAACATAGGGACCACCTCCCCAAGCACCTTTACCTCAGCCTGGCTCTACTCTTCTCTATACCAGTGCCGGGCCTCACAACCACCACCCAGGGGCCTTTGTGAAAATTCAGATTCGTGGTCCACACACCCAAACAACGAAATCATCACCTGTGTGAGGTGGGTCTGGGGAGTCCGTATTTTCAGCATGCTTCACGGGCTTGGGATCCTCTGAGCCATTCTGACTAGTCCAGGCAATAAAGATGTTTTATCACTTCAACAGAGCTGTCAGGGTCCAGACGGGAAAACGGAACCCATTGTGGGAGTGTTAAAGAGAGGGAACTTAATACACAGAAGTGATTATAAATGTGACAGGTGAGCTGAAAAGTGAAGCAAATGGGGAAGAAATGCAGAGATTCTTATCGGCAGGAGGCCACTACCACTTTCAAGGCCAGAGGCGCGCTAACAGAAAGGGGCGCTAACGAACCACACGAGCTGGAGGTCTGTTGGGACCAGAACACCGGGGTGAAGGTTGATTGGCAGAAGTTGGAGCCACAGAAGGAGAGGTACGTGTAGAGGCACGGGGAAGAAAGTCACTGATGGAGATGCTCCCCAAGGCAGAGAGAGGGGGAAAACACCCTGGATTCTCCCTTACCCCCTGTAGCTGCTAATCCCTATGTACGGCTCCCATGCGCCAGCCCACTGAAAACCATCTAACAGGAGGAGCCCAAGAAGCGCGTCCTTTAGGGGAGGACTTCCCAGTGATACCAAAAGGAACCAGAGTGACCTCTGGCTCTGAGAACAAACAGGCCAATGACAGACCACAGAACGACACCGAAAACAGTAATAAAAGTGGAAAAGCAGATATGTGCTAATGATACGCATAGGAAACACGATCTCAAGGGAAAAATGGAATGGGAGGTAGGCCAGAAGCGGGGACAAACATTTCTGTTTCTATGACTCCGGAGATCTACACAGAGCTTCAAGTAGATGGCTACCTGCTGTGGCTTCTTCTTTTTTTTTTTTTTAATATTTTTTATTTATTTCTAGGAGAGAAAGAGACAGCATGAGCAGGGGAGGGTCAGAGAGAGAGGGAGACACAGAATCCGAAACAGGCTCCAGGCTCTGAGCTGGCAGTCAGCACAGAGCCTGATGCGGGGCTCGAACCCACGAACCGCGAGATCACGACCTAAGCGAAAGTCGGACGCTTAACCGACTAAGCCACTCAGGCGCCCCATGCTGTGGCTTCTTCTTTAAGTGTAAGAGTGAGGCTGTGACTTGGGACAATGTGCCTGAGGTCAACTCAAGCGGGAGGCAGGAATGAGACCTAATCCAGCATTTGGTCTGACTTCAAATCAGTTCTCTTCACAAAATCACACTCCCCCTCCTAGCTCTCTGACAAAACAATTT